ATGCTGGTGAATATGAATTTTTTATGGTACCACAATCATTGAAAAAAATAACCTTCTAAGTTAATATTTTTTCTAAATTCATCACGGGAATTTGTGTGGTTTTCTGAATTTCAGATCTTATATCCTTTGAATTTATTTATTTAATGTGCAGGATCCTGGAAGCATGTCAAAGTATCTGCTGAACGAAGAAGCAACGATTGAGAATTGAAGAGCAAGTATCGGCATGAGCTTCTTAAATAGAGTCCAATGTATAAGAATCAAGGGGATATGTAAGATTAACATGATGTATATGCATGATTGACTTAGATTGGTGACTCTGTTTGCTCAAATATTAATGGAATATATTTCATGTGTTTTTTATGTTCTCTATATTGTGGTTCCCAAAGTGAATGTGATTACATGTGTATTAAAGACAGTTTCACGTAACTATTAGCAATAAAATAAATAAAACAGAAAACACAAAGTGTACCATCATTGCTTGACACGTAATTTAAAATGTCTCTAAGGGACGTAGATACGCAGGTCACTGTCTTTACAAAGCATCTCATGTCTTCTAGACACGCTTGACATAGTTTGGACTCTACTTTATTAGTTAATAGCTAGCCACTTAAAAAAAATAAGATGTTGTGACGAACACTACTCTACTTGGGTGTCACCGTGGGCCTGTAAGTCGGCCGGTGTGCCGCAAGGATGTATTGGGCTGAGCCCGTTATCATGATATTTGATACTCGCTGTGTGGGTGGTTGGAAGGCCAGCGAACAATACGAAAACTATCCTATTCCTCTTGTTCTCCCGTGCTCCTCTCTCTCTCTCTCCGAGACGGCGCCGCCGTGCTCTTCGCCGTGCGTGTTTGCCGGCAAAACTTGTTAGAGTACGTCAGGGGCCTATTGGGTCTGGGTTGGCTGTATAGCCCATTAGTATCAGGGTTAATTAGAGATAAGGGTCGCTTACTTAAGGGTCAAATAAGCCTTGCTTGGAAGTCAAGTAAACCTCTCTATATAAGGAGAGGAGATGTATCGACCTAATCAAGAAAGAATTAAGAAGGAAATCATTTCCCTCTTGCTCGGCCGTGGGCAAGGCCCCCCGCCGGCCTCCAGCCTCCCTCGCAGCCCAGCCGCCACATTTGTGGCTGTGAACAGTACCCGATTCACTGTAGCACCACGGGGATACCATAGCCCCCACATAACAATCTGGTATCAGAGATCTCTGGTTCGATCATGTCCAGCCCTCTATCGAGTTGTTCCCACCCGCCGCCACCGCACACCCACCCGTCGCCACCAGCGTCTTTGTCGGCGCTGCTGCCCCACACAGCAGGCGCGCCGACATTGGGTGCGCTGGCATCCTCAGGGGCGATTGCGCCCTCTACCCCGGCGCTGTCCGCCCTCGTCCTCACCCCGGAGCTGATAACGGCCACAATCCTAGAATTAGGGCAGGCCGTGGCGGGCATCAGGGCCTTCCTCGTCGGGCCCTATGTGCCCCAGCCGCAGCCCCAGCTGTCACCTCCACCGCCGCCACACCAACAGCAGCTACCCCCGCCGCCGCCGCCCTCGGCCGCGACCCTCTAGCTATCCCGGGATCGTGACAGATGTCGACACTCTAAATACTTGTTCCGAATTAAGCAAGGATTAAGATGTCTACCGTCATGTACATTTTTGTGAAATGTCTGGAGTCCATCAGTCCGTCGACTGCGGAGAAAACATGTCCTCTCTGGGCGCAGCGTTCTGCCTCTCCTGCTGCTGGCTCATGTACGAACCCATCGTGTTGTCCAAGAACGACGAGGGGACGAAGCTGCCACTCGTGGCACTGCTCTGCGCCAGCGCGCCGCCGAGGCCGAACGAGCCCTGGCCACTGAACATGCACTTTTGCGCCGTTCGGTCGACCATGGTCGGCCGCGTGGCGCTGGCCACGGCAAGGTTTTGACCGGCAGCTGTCCGCTGTCCGCAGGCGGTGCTGCGGGATGGTAGAGTGCGGCGCTGCCACGCACGGTGGGCACGTCGTCGTTGTGCTGGCCGTCGTACGTGGTGATCACGGTGCGCAGGTCGTCGGACGCGCGCTGCACATGCTTGCGGGACCGGGCACCCTGCCGTCGTACACTTGTAGTAGCTCCTGTAGTCACAAGACAACAATCACGATGAGTACAAAGTTCACGCTTTCAATAGGCGTTCCCTACAACAATCACTCTTCTCAAGTCTTTCAAGAAACAAAAGAACATCGGCATGCCAATTGCCACCACCACCTTTGCCGGGGCTAAGAAAAGGCAGATCGGATTTGGCAAGAGAGAAAGGCATGGTTCAGATTTCAGGAGCAACATCAAGAGAGAGACACGAAACTAATTAAAGTTGGTTCTATTCGCATTTCCAGATTCGTTCTATGCAATCATATATCCGGATAAAGGAAATCCAAGAACCTATCAAGCAGCAGCAGCGGCAGATCTATTATCATCATCATGTGTTCAATCATCGTCACCCAATTATGCGCCAAAAATACCACAGAGAGATGCTAGCAGCCTAGCACAATTACCAGTTCATGTGACAGCTCTCACAATTGCCGGTTGCCGGACATGGAGATCCCCTCACCGTCACCGTCTTTCCTCCTGACAAAAGCAACAGGAATTGACTTCCGCTTGTTCGTTCCAAGAATGCAACAAAAAGTCAGAAAAAAATTGGCACGGATATTGTGTGAACAAACTACCAAAGCACTCTCACCTCTTGGAATCCGGCTGGTCTTTGTCGAACTCATCGCCGCCAGCATTCTCGGCCCGCGGCAAGCCTACACCGACATCATCGTCCGCAATCCACGCCAAGAGACCCTCGGCCGTCGCGACGAGCGTGCCCGACATTCCGCCCAACGAGTGCTCGGACGCGTCGGCGCTCTGCAGCAGCTGCGGCGCCTTCTGCGTCCTCACGTGGTTGTGCAGGCCCCTGTAGACAATCTCGATGATCTGGCCGTCCTGCGACCTGACTACCCTCTTACTGACAAGGCAGCTGGGGAAGGTGCACTTGTAGTAGTAGGGCCTTATTTAGATTGAAAAAAATTTCAACCCGATGAATAGTAGCACTTTCGTCTTATTTGGTAAATATGGACCAACTAAGCTTAAAAGATTCATCTCGTGATTTCTAACTAAACTGTACAATTAATTATTTTTTTTACCTACATTTAATACTCCATACAAACAGCTAAAAATTAATGTGATGGAGAGAGAGTGAAAAAACTTAGAATTTTGAGGCTATCTAAACAAGGCCTAGCTGCTCGAGTACTCGTTCCCCTTCGCCTGCTTCTGGCCGTACTTGCGCCAGTTGTAGCCGTAGTCGTCGTGGGGCCTAACCGTATCCGAGATCGCCTGGAACGGCGTGCTGAAGTGATTAGGTGTTTTGAATTGCCACGCTTCAACACTGTAGCTACCTTGTCCAGCTCACTTTTTTTATGCCACCTGCAGAGATTGTATAACATATACCCAATATACATTAAGCCCTCGTTTAGTTCGGCCCGAATTCGGCACCGGCAAAGTTACTGTAGCCACATAGCCACTGTAGCATTTCGTTTGTATTTGGTAATAATTATCCAAACGTTGACTAATTAGGCTCAAAACGTTCGTCTCGCAAAGTACAACCAAACTGTGCAATTAGTTTTTGATTTCGTCAACATTTAGTACTCCATGCATGTACCGTAAGTTTGATGTGACGGGGAATCTTCTTTTTGCATAGTGTCAAAGTTTGGAATTTAGGGTAACTAAACACCCCCTAATATTATGTTTCATGGTAGTGTTCTTATTTGGTAGTGGGTATTATTTTAGATGCATTACATTTGCATATCACGTCTATCTTTAGTCATGAAAATTAGAACTGATAGTAACTTGAACTAGAACTAGAACTAGAACTAGAATTAGAATCAATAGAAATTTCAGCCATACCAACTAGAACTCTATAATAACAAAAAAAAATAGCAAATAGGTTTACTCCTGCAATCATGTTTGCTGATCGGCTACTTTAAGATTATAAGAGGAAAAAAAGTAAACATCAAATGAAAGGATCGAGAGGGAGAGAGCTGAGGGAGAGGCGGCGACGGCGGGCTACAGTACCCATGGTGCTACAGTGCGGCTGGGCTGCGAGGGAGACTGGAGGCCGGCCGGGGGCCTTGCCCACGGCCGAGCAAGAGGGAAGGGATTTCCTTCTTAATTCTTGCTTGATTAGATCGATACATCTCCTCTTCTTATATAGAGAGGTTTACTTAACTCCCAAGCAAGACTTACTTGACCCTTAAGTAAGCGACCCTTATTTCTAATTAACCCTAACACTAATGGGCTATACAATCAACCTAGGACCAATAGGCCCCTAACGTACTCTAGCAGGAGTATTTATCTTCTGCAAAAAAGATTCTTTCATACAGTTTTTCACCTAAGGCAACTTATTTGTGTTGAGAAAAAAAAAAGAAGCAGGACAAGTCATTATCAGATCTTGTATAAAAATTGTTTCACGCCAGAAATCTTAACTGCATGCACATCGTCAAATAGGTGGAACTGGCACCATGATTAAACCCATAGATTAAACTTGATCAAGTAAATAAAGTATTGAACCTCGGCAGTCCTCTTATTTTGATGTTATTAACTCTCAACAGAAAGTCTACAATCTGAAAGTATAGCAATCTCATTTGAAATTTCTTCAGCTAGTTTGGAAACTGCTTTAGGCTAAGGGAAACACACCAGCCCGGGACATGATCAAGTAGCTAGCAACAGTTTATTATAACGTTTCAGTGATATTACAGGGAGAAGGAAGGCACGTACTCTTCGTCAAACAAACCCACAATTCGTAGGTTGAAGTTTGTAAGTCTTGAATGCTTGCTAATGGCATCCTTGAACACAGATTCCACAGCTATTTTGTCGGATTCCTCTGCACCCGGTGCTGCCCCAATTCGGCCAGTGATCTCTTGGAGGTTTAACAGGTGTTCAATGCTGGCAAGCATATTACCATTTTGCTCTCCACTGTGGGCATTGAATTCAAGATTCAGACTCGAAGCCAAGGCATTGCTTCTGGCTGAAAAGCAATGCGCATAATGCCACATCTGAATTTGAAAAACTTAAGAACAGGAAATGCTGCACGATGGAAGACAATCTGTTCTGCGGTTGGTTGCCTGACATACAGAGAGAGAATGGTGAGTTCCTGTAATTGGGCGATGCTGTCAACATCACCAGTCGTCAATTCCCTAAGAACAATTTTCAAAATGCATAGCTTCCGGAGCTGTCCAATCCATACAGGGAGTCTTGAAAAGATGCAAAAGGGCGGCAACAACTCAAGTCTCTGAATGAAGATGGACAGAGGAGATGTGCTCCATGAGCAATCCAAGTAAATGTTTGTGCATGAAGCAGCAGGAGCAGGAGCAAGAATTATAGATTTTAGATTGCCAAGTTTCCCAAAGGAAAAAAGGAAAGCTATCAACTTCTTCAGAGGGTCAGACATTTCTGTAGCACTGGTGACATGAAGATCACGCAGGTCCTTCATCTCACCAAGTTGCCATATACTATCTGCAGAGTTACTGCTGAGGTCGAAAGACTGAAGTGTGCGCAGAGATCTCGTGTGACCAATACCATAGGACAGATTTATCTCACCATGTACACAGAGGTGCAGCAATCTGGGGAGATGGATAATATCTGATGGAATAGAAGTTACTCTTGCATAAATTTCCATTGTTTGCAAATATGGCAGTCCAATCATCCTGGCTGGTAGTCTCACATTGATGTTAGACGTAATCCGCATGTACCTCAGCTGACACAATCTATCGATGCCACTGAGGTCTACCTCTTCTTTGTCACCCCAAACTTCAAGAATAAGAACTCGAAGTACCTCAAACTCCATAATCGAAGGGAGGCACTCAACAAGTCCATAAAAGATAAGTGATTGCACAGGGGATAGTGTAATGCTTTCTGGTTTCGTTGCATATTTGGCACTACTGAACCTGAGAGATAGTCGTCGAACCTTTACAGAAAGCTCTGAGATGGTATTGGAGTAGTCTATCACAGTGCTGAAGTTCTCTTCTATGGACATGGTCCTAATAACTTCGAATACAGTGGAGTGCAGTGTATATAAGCTCATCAAAATAACACTCTGCAACTTCATCACTTTGTTTCTCTTCTACTGCAATTATAAAACCTTCGGCACTCCATTGTTTCACCAAGTCAGCCTTCAAGAATGTAGAACCCTCAGGATACATACTAAGATATAGCAGACATGTCTTCAAATGGTGAGGAAGACTATTGCAGCTCAGACCTATTATTTCTCTTAGCATGACTTCCGAAGTAAGATTATTATATCCCAATCTGGAAAATAATGCTTCTTTGACATGTTGCCACAGCTCTAAGTTATCTGGTTGGCCAGCTAAAATGGTAGCTACGCTAATGGTCGCGAAAGGCAGACCACCACATGCTCTTATAATTTCTTCTGAGTTTTCCTTCAATTGTTTAGAGAGCTCATGTTCAAAACCAAACAGTCTATTGAAGAACAATTCTGTGGAGTAATTTCCACTAAGTGGCTCCATCTTAAAAATAGCATCGGGTTCATAATCACAGCACTCCAGAGCTACTTCCTCAATATCTGTAGTTATTAATATTCTGCTACAATGAGTGTCCTCTGGAAATGCGCTGATAACAATATCCCATGATGTTGTTTCCCACAAACCATCTATTACAATGAAATACCTGCCAAATATTTTTATAATTATTATGTGCCAGGCTAGGTGCAATATAAAAATTACAAAAACATGACAATCCAAACTTATGGAACATAAGGATTATATTTGCATTGGCTTTCCAGTTTCCCTAATAGTTCCAAATTTTCTTATTTGACCTGATGAACTTGCACACCTGCTTTGAGTTTGTAGGCTCAAAATATTGGTATTTACTTTTATCACGATTTCACAGTTTCAAGTTTAAACTCCAGTGTTAGGAGAAGCAGAAACGATAAGTTTATTGTCAGTAGTGACATCTATATTTTTTATTTGTTTTTTCCTTTCCTTACAATTCAGGAGTTGTCAGATTTTCTCATTGTTGCTATTCATACTCATTGTAGCAGCTATAGCCGGAGATGGAGCCACTTAGTATATCAAGATTTACCTGTGCACTGAATTCATAATCACATACTCAGAAATTCAGTGCGTAGGTGAATCGGCTAGTATATCAAGATTTTCTTTTCAGAATTTTTTCCTGTTGATCCAGTGATTGATCAAGCTCTACCATTTCATCATATAAATGCTGAAAACAGAAAGCCAATCATACTGTGCATGCTTTTGGAAAAGGAGGAAGCACTGCTTAACATACACTTATACCTCTTTTGTTGGAGATGTGTTCTTAGGATGTCAAGGAGCTCTTGCACGGGGAGACCATGAGGGGTCTTTGATGGCGGCCCTGGATTTGGGAGAAGATGTTACCGAGAAGCCTCCTTGTATCAGGCATCTTTGAGGCTCGAACAAAAAGCTCGACACTCGAACTGTCCTTCCACTTCACGGTACACTTGTTTGGCAAGTGTAGTCTTACCAACACCTGGAGGTCCTTGTATGGATATTACTAGCCTCTGTTCGGCGTCAATGTTAAGCCTCTTGATAAGTTCAGCCTTGGAATCATCGATACCAACAAGATCTGTGGCGTCCCCGTCGAGCCTTGGAACCAGCCTTGCCCACCCCACCATCGACCACAAATCTAGGATTCGATGCCCAACGCCCAAGATCGTACCTGTTGTGCCGTTCGTGGGCGTCCTTGGCCTGCTTCACGAGAGTGCTTAATTCCTCCACCTCAGAATCAGAACGAGGCTCTTCCCTAGAAATGTGGCCGGGGTGCATCGTCTTGTCAATGTAATCCTCGATATCGTAGGACAGATCACGCACCTCGTTCATCCAGTGCTTCACCATCATGTTGGGAGTTTCCACCCATGACAGATTCACGAGGAAGGTGTTTATTGCTTCGAGATCTTGTCTGAGGAGCTCGAGGCTGTCCTTCTGTGACTTCAACGGCTCTGGCAGCTGATCCTCTGCAGAGACCAGCAGGGAACGGAGCTTCGCAAGAAGGGATCCCATGGCGCCCAGCGAAGAACTGAAGATCTGAACCTCCGGGCCTATTTGCTCGGCGCAGGGCGGGCTCCCAAGCGTCTGATTTCGCAAGCCTGCGGCTGGCAGCGCAAGGACACCTGCGCTGCTGCCGGCAAGCTGCATCCCAGGATGCGAGGCAAACACATCCATCTCTGATGGGAAGAATCAAAAGCATCGAGAGAAAGCGTAGTTATCTACTCCACACCATCTAGTCTGGAATTGACACCGCAGTCCGCAGACGTGAGAACCTGGGAATATAGTAATTGTGGCTCTGCTAGTGCTAATGACTTCCTTGTGTCTGATTCCGCTACTTTTCCTTACTCTGTTCTATCTTTAAAGACGGTCCAACTCTAGAGCCAGAAGAATAAATGCCCATATTTATAGCTCTAAGCCAGTTTTTCCGATAATACTAACTTTAATAAATAGTTTTTAACATGAATAACCCACGTGACATGTAAGAGCTTAGATCTGGATAATTGATAGTTTTTCTTTTTTTCTATTAAAATATAAAAAAATACTTAAAGCTAACTTAAAAATCGATTGTCGGAGCTACGTTCAAAAGCGTGCTTTCTGACAGGAAAAGGAAATGAATTAAGAAATTGGTAAAGGGACGGTCGCTCTCGAGCAGGTACAATAATGGACCTGTTGCAAGCCATTATTGGCAGCCGCTGTCTTGGACTTGTGACACAGGTACTGTTTAAACAATTAAAAATGCAGCAGCAGCCGCTGGCAAAACGTCAGCCGAACAGGACCATTAATAAATATTGACGTGGAAGAGAGAAAAAAAGAGAGAAAATGTGAGAAAATATAGGTTGACTCGCAACAGGTCTAGGGACTCGGAAACCTATGCAATGGTTGGTCTAGGGACTCGGAAACCTATGCAATGGTTGGTCTAGATATCAAGTGAATACGATAAGGATTAGAAAAAAAAAAGTGAGACATGAGTAAAAGTAGTAATAATTTTTTTATAAATAAATAAAAGACCACTATTGTATAGCTTAACTCTTACAACTTTGTTATGTGTAAGGCTAATCTTAATGGAATTTTATGATAATTTTATGGGCATTAAATATGTTGACATAGCACTGTATTGATGAAAAAGAGATGATAAAAGTTTCACGGGAGTAGAGAGAGTTTATGGGGATGAAATTCTTCAGCACTGTTTCTAAAATATGAGGATGTTAAAAACTAGGATATGAAACACCCACTAAGACTGACCTAAGAGCCCAATATTTGATTTTTTTTATTGGGCTTGCTCTTCCTGGCTACTCCGTCCATCCTAATAAAATGTATTTTTTTTCAAATCACGAACCCACACTCCCTATAAACATGTGCGCAAACACCTCTAAAAGACTGACTAGACCAACAAATCTTGAGATGAACGAAGTTACTGTAGATACTTGTTATTAACAAAATCATCACGTATCCTAAAAATAACACCATTAAATTTTAAAATGCATCTAAAAAAGATACTGCCACCCGAACCAGCTGAGCCACTCCGCTCGCAATAAAATGTGATTCCAGCTTCCTATATATAGTTATTTTTACATATATTTGTATATATAAATATTAATATCATATTATATAAATTTAGTAAAGTTAAGATATTTTGATAGGGACCAAATCAAAAATTGCATTAAGAGGTAGTATATATATTTTTGAATTACCGTGAGGCCGCCATTAGGCATTGTTTTTGTAGCCCAATTAAAATAAACTCATCAAGGAGATAAAAGAAAAGAACATGGCATACTAAATGACCATAATACCCCTCCCATCTCAATTTCCCCTGTCGCCTATTTGCCGCGACTTTCCCGATAAACAAGAAGTCCATTTCTCTGTGTTGCCTCCGGTGCAGCCTCCCTCCGTTCCCATCCCAAATCTACCTACCGTCGGAATCGGCGAGCACGGTCTGATAGGCGGTGACCTGCCTGCTCGAGTAGAGCAGAGGCACCAGCGGGCGCCAGTAGTGGCTTGGTGCTCGATTTCCTCACACACGCCGGCACGGATGGGAGGGAGCCGGTTGATGCCAGCGAGCTTTAATTTGACAGGCTCTTTACACCAATGACTTCCCTGATGTTGCTGGAGTTGGACATTAGTCGAAGTCCCTTGTGTACAGAATCTGTGCTTTGTTTTTGCTGCGTATGCAGAGAGGAAATAGGAAGAAGAAAGGGGTATTGTTGTCTTTTGTTGAAACTTTAACGGTGTTAGCCCTCCCTCACTAAACCAAGAGACCATCACAACATATGCGTACTTTCTGTCCCAAGTCCAGTCAAAGTCTCCTCCCTCACCACTTCCCCAGCGAGCTCCAGCTGCAGCACAACATCAGGTGCGTAATAGATCCGCTTTCAATCGACGAGGCCTAACTAAACATCATGTAGCTGAATTACTTCATAAGCTGGTTTAGATTCTCCTAGTCTGATTCTGGCAGAGCTCTTATCGTAGGTGTATTGTAGTGTAGTACTACTCTGTTTTGGAGTCTTCTGCCGTGCTGCTCATCTAGATCGAGATCTCCAAGCTCACTATTTGGTCATCAGCTCTTTACCTTATTCATTTGGCAACAAACTCCTTTTGATCGGTTTGCATCTTTCCGAAGGACTTTACTCAATTATTTTTTGTCACGAATAAGGTAAAGATTTTTTCCCCACTTGATTCAGCCCACCATTGATTGGTTTTTAAAGAGTATCTCCCACCAGGGCTTATCGCAGTTCATCAGTTACATCCCCCTCCACAACACAATTTCATCTTCTTCCTCTTTCCTCTCTGCATATACAGCAAAAACAAAGCTTGTTTCTAATCATTCATCCTCTCTGCATATATAGCAAAAACAAAGCTTGAATTAAACAAAGCTTGTGTCCCTTGTACACAATTTGGGCTTATCTCAGTATATTAGTTTTTGATCCACAAAGCTTGTTTCTAATGATTTATCCTTGTCGCAACTTTTTATTTTCAGGGGTTATAAAGGGTGAATATCAGTGGTTATACCGATGTGTCAGCACTGCTATAATTTCTTTGGAAGTGTTCACTACATATAACCTCTTCATTTGTGTGCTGGACTCTCAAGGTAGTACTGACTTTTTTTTTGAAAATAAGGTAGTACTGACTAGTAATTTAATGTTAGTATTCTGCATCTATATGATATATTTAGTGTAAAAAGTGCTGCAAACAATATTAGATATGCTAACAAATGCTATTTACTGTCAGATGAAAAGAAGGCTGTGGTCATCTCCCCTGCTATAAGATGCTCCTCAGGTTTTATGTGCTCTCTTGTCAGTTTTATTCTGCCCATCGTCTGTATGTGCAAAGGTGGGTGCACTTCATCTCGACACCACTAGGAACCATCAGCGCCTAACAACCATTGTGATCGATGGAGGACCCGGGCCTGTTAAGTGCATTTCTAGACAACCTCATGTCGAGATTGTTCTCTCTAGCGGAGGAGAAACACAAGCTGTACAAGGGCTTTGAAGGAGATCTGGCTTTTCTGAAGAGTGAGCTTAAAATGATCACTAGTGCCATTGATGGGCAGCTCTTGGGGCAGGATGATCACATACTGCGTTTGTCCATTGAAGAGTTGCGACAATTAGCTCATGAAATGGAGGACTGTATAGACCACATCGTGTATGATGCATCTTGGGAACAGCAACAACCATGGTACTGTAAAATGGTCAAAACTGGGAAGAAGAGAAAATCACGTTCACAGTTAGGCGAAGAGATGCAGCAACTAAGGTGCAGATTGGAGGAAGCACTCCAACGGCAACAGAGGTATTCAGTGTCCCGTCCATCCACATTCCAGCCAGCAGAATCATCCTTGAATCAGCATATCCTTCCGGCTGATTTGGTTGGCATCAAGCCACCCCTTGAGGAGCTTCTGGGGCAGTTGGCAGAATTTGAAGGTCAACCCAAGCAGTTGAAAGTGATCTCAATAGTTGGCTTCTGTGGATTGGGGAAGACCATCCTTGCCAGGGAGTTGTACAACAGCATGGTCGGCAAGCAATTTGACGAAAGGGCATGGGTTTCTGCAGTGCATGCGGATCCAAGCAAGCTCTTAATAGAGATACTCAAGGAACTGCATAAACCACCACCGGATACCTCCAATGTCTACCAGCTTAGTACTGATCTAAGGAACTTCCTAAATAACAAGAGGTAAGAAATTTTCTACCACCCCTTAGACAACAGAAGACAGTTGCCTACTTAATAATTTTATGAAAATCTTTCTCTAAAGCCAACTGTAGACAGCATGCAGAGACTTTAGTTATGAGAAAGAGATCCTAGTCACATAGTTTTGTGGTACAAAATGTATTTGCGTATTCACAAATGATTTAGTAAAATTATTCAAATATGTACGTAATTTTGCCTACAGCTCTTATAAAACTAAGGAGATTAATAAAAGAACTGCAAAAGCCACTCTTGGAATTCTGGCCTCCATATATACTGCACATGCTAATATATATACCACAATAAGGAGCAGTTACTCTTTTTAACTGTAGAAAACATGTATTTATTTCTGAAGGAGAACGATGCCAAATGAAAATAAATGATTACCTTTCCTTCATGCGTTGATCACTATGGTGTTGGAGGTTCTTGTTGATTTGTGTATTCTCATTTCACAATATTCCAGGTATTTCATTGTAATTGATGACATGCGGTCAGATCAATGGAGTACTATAAAGTCTGCCTTTCCTCGAGATGTTAGCAGCAGAATATTGGTGACAACGAAAATCAAGTCAGTGGCTAATACTTGCAGCTCTACCAACGGCTATATTCACAAAATGAGAAGACTTGACGAGAAACATTCAAAGCAGTTATTCCTGAAGGAAGCTTGTCCGGTGGAATATTCAGAGTACATGGGGCCTGATCTGGCAGCAATTTTGAAGAAATGTGATGGTCAACCACTCGCTCTGACAACCGTTGGCCAATTCATGGGAAAAAAGAGTTGGCCAACAGGACATGACTGTGAAGATGTGTGCAACCAGGTATGGTTTTACCATCTGCAGAGTGGTGACGATACTTTGGACAGAATGCATCAGGTGCTGATCCATGACTACACCAGTCTGCCTAGCCATGCTCTCAAAGCTTGCTTTCTGTATTTTGCTATGTTTCCAAGTGATCATCCAGTAAGGGCGAAAAGGCTAAAGAGGCAATGGTTAGCTGAG